ATTATAGGACAATTTTTGACCTCCCGATCTGAAAATTAAGATTGGGCCGAGAAACAGAGCACTTTGCTACAATCCTTGAAATCTATGTACTCTCTTGATCGAAAAGCTTAACGGAAATCAAAGATTCGGCCCAGATGTAATTTTCATTGTCCGTAAACTCTGTCAAAATTTCTCGCTTCAGCCGGTGGAAAGCTACCTTCTAGGCTTGATGCCATGCGATTCCGTGTTCTAGCTTGGATTGAATAAATGGGGCTTATAGCTAAAACTTCACAAGGAGTGTATTGAGCTATCTTTTTACTTGATATATTAGAACGACACGGTCGGAGATGTGCAACAAGAGTAAAAGCAACCCAGTGAGAGCGAGTGCTTCCCAGTTTGTCATTTTATGTTTCCCCGCGTCTCCGATGAATTGGACTGCAATCATCCACCATGACACAACTTTCTAGTTCGGGTGTATTTCTAATCCATTGGGGATGCAGTGTTGCAATATTGACGCCAGTAACTGGTTGTGTAACGAAGGAATACAACAGATTGGCTGGTGCGTGCTATAGAATCCATGCATCATGTAACAAAATGATGATTCAAATTCTGGAACGGATGTCGAAAGTGCGATGCACACACACACACACATCCTGCAATCCAAGGTGATGGGAAGTTTGTACCTGTGTTAGATGATCTAGAGATGAACAGACAAAATGATTTGACTAACTTGCACTGAAGTTGTACGGCTGAAGAACATTATCTCGTTCTAAGGAGTCATGTGTTGATAATCACTTTATTAATCGGTCACGGTTTCTCTCAAACTGATACAAACAGTCTTCGTCACGTGTGAATTACTTGGGAATTCCTATCTGCACGGGCCCTCGACATGAATACTACTGACCCCACAGGCAGCACAATCATCAAACGGGAGCTGTTTGAGCACGTGTGAAATTTTTTGGTACATCAGCTTAAAGAGGGCCGAGTGAGTTACTCAGTGTGCAGAGATTGTTGCGGGGGTTTTAACCACAGAATAAATTTGGATACTGGTCACGTGATTAAGTCGACTGATCGCAGCTCCATCGCTGCACGGGTGTTTCTAATTAATATCTGTTTTTCCTTAGACAGAAAATGCAAAATTTGTTCGGCGGTGTTTCTTCCACCATAATGATGCCTTCAATTGTATTCATATTCAAACATTGCGTAGTCTATCTGAGAAGGGTATTCAGCCGCAACTTACCAATCTATTACGTCATTATCTCACCGATCATCATAAGGGTCACAACTCCTCACTTTACTCTATGCACAAGGAGTTCATCAAGGTACTATTCCCTCTCCCTCCTTGTTCACAACCTATATTTCTTCCATGCCTCCTTTTGATGATTGCTTGCTTATTGGTCGATGAAATTGTTTACGGGTGGAAGTTTTCGTATTCCTCCATGTACTGAAAACCTAGGCATAATATTTTATTGCTCACCGACTGTTCTTCACATTACTACCTTAAAATGAATCCTTCCAAGTGTACGAATGTTTCGTTTTCTTTGCTGAAGGGCGTTCAACTCATTGATGTGATAAATAATTACCAGTATATCATTATCGATGAAGAACAGGTTTCCAGAGCGTGCTCCGTCAAATACCCCGGATTCATCACGTTTTTCTTCTCTTCTATCCTTCCCCACTGGTTTTATGCATCTCAAGTTATTTTTCCGGGTTTTCTAATCAAAGAGTTCAAACTCTTACGTATATCCATCAAACACGTATGTCGATACGGTGATATATCTTGCGAACATCTTGTACAATTTATAATTTAAGGCTTAATTTAAAGATTACCAGAAACTTTCTGTCAGAATACTGCTAGATACATCTCACCTTCTGTAATCTCATCTTAATAAATGTATATCTATACATCGACCACTCGCTCCAAGTATAAGGAAGTACAGAGCAGCACGCACCGCAACAATGAAACTCTTCTCTACTACTGTAATTGGCACGGTTTCTTACGAACATCGATCTTGTTATTGAAAGCCTTCGAATTTGCTGAATTTGCCTAATTGTTTTTTTGTGTACATCGTATCATCATTCTTTTTGTTTCTACCTGTTGATTCTTCTCCTCAGAATCATTTTGTACTCTTTCGTCTCATTACCCACTCCATCACTTCCGATTTGTCCCGTTGACATTCGTTCCATTCTCGTTATCGATTTCTTACATAACCAAGCGAGTGCTTAGTTTTCCCTGTCTCTGACACGTATATGGACATGCAGACACACGCACACCTTTGGGAGCTTCATATCACTGTCTGACTAGACTTACTTTGTTTGACTCCGGATACTTTGATCACAGTGCCTCTTTGACACAGCGGTGAGCTGTCCCCTTTTGAAGCACCTTGATTGTGAGGTGTATTTAGACATCCAAGCGCTTTCATGTTCCTATTTGACGCACTTATATCTGAAGGTGCCTTGACGACTGTTCTAACCCAAATATCTCAAGAATCAAGGTTCGTATATTATTCATCATGTCGTCAGCTGATTTGTAATAATAGTACCGTATCACCAATCAGTCTTGGTTTTCATTGCTTTGGAAGCGAGACTTTGCACGTCACTTGTCGCCAGGTTTAACAAGGGAAGGCGGTCCATTCTAATTCCGCAGAAAAGGAATCACTACTACTCCATCCATTTCCACCACTACAGAAAATTGATTGTGTAATAGGTGAATATTTATCCCCATTTAAGGCGGTTCTTGATTTGGCTTCATTGGATGGTGGTTTGATCACAGAATACAGTCGGATACCAGTCACGTGACTAACTCAAGTGATTACGAGTACTACAAAGGGGAATCCATAACCAAATGTCATTACAAGTTAAAATAAATACAATTTAGGACATTAAAACGTTTGTTAATATGAGAACATGGTTGATGGTTTGGACATAGAATTCTCAAAGACCGTACTCTTTAATAAACAAAATACACTGAATTTGTGTCAATAATCAATACTGAAATTGAACGCTTGATGCACGAAAACAAGTGAATCACGTACCAATATCATTGGTCGATGATCATTGCAGTCTTCGATTCGCAAATGAAACCAAGCCTCGGTGCTTTTGCCAGCTCCATCACTCGCAATGACAACAACTGTCAGATTCGGTTGAACCAGACCCCGGAGACCACGATCGGTCAGATACAAATGATTGTTTGAAATGAAAATGCGTCTGCGCAATGTGTTCGTCTGACTGTCCGGACTGTGTTCACTCAAGCGAAACGTGATCTTCCCCGCATTCTGTTGTGCGTCATCCTGATCCCGGGCTTCCAGTCGGACTAGTTTATGTTGCGTGGTACACTCGGGCACAGAGAATGCGTAGTGCGTTTGCCTGGTCTCACTCGGTTGTGGCGGATCCGTAGGACTTGCACTTACCCACAGGGAACGACCGGTACTGTCAAATCGTTCCAATTTGCTGGCCCATTCCGGGGCATGATCATTCACATCACGTACCAACAGTTGAACTGCGATCTCTCCTCGTTTCTCGTCCGAGTCAAATGCGACTAGGCGAAAGTGGAACTGATCGCCCACAGTTTCCCGATCCAATCGTTTGATAGTTCGCAAACACGCTACCATGGGACGACTATCCGCTGGACCCCGACCATTTACCAGTTCCAATTGGACCGGGGTCACATCCTCACATCGCAAACCGGGTTGATGTCGAAATTGGACAATATCAAAATATTCGCGAACACGTGCTGGTGTGGTGGTCGGATGAAACTCGTAGCGTTGAACACCGTGTTCTAAGGCATCCGGGTCGGTGGCTTGTGGCAACTGTATCATTGTACCAATCGGACATTCTTCATCCACGGTGAGAACTGCCAGGGGGGCACTATCTGCCGAATTGATTACGGTGAAATAGGGCGCGTTGTCGTTCACATCGATGACCAGCACGGTCAAATCGGCATAGATGGTTTGTGCGCTCAACTGACTATCATTTGTCGGACTGAGATGAATCGCTATCAACAAACTGATTGTGCACTTCTGCTCTGTGCCCATTGCATCCGGACAGAGTCGTTCTCGGTCCAGGGGGACAGTGAATCTGACTACACCGGTCTGGGAGTCCAACTGGACCAGCTGGACAAAATTAACATGACGCTGTGGGGGTAAGTTGGCTAACAGATTTGCGCTCACATCCAACAGCTCGTATTTGGGTCGAACACGTTGCGTGTGAAGCTCTGTGCTCATCCGGGTGGGAATCTCTGTGCTCGCCCAGAGCAGTGCAGTCAGATTGGCCACAGTCTGATCAGCGATGTCGGACTCGGATATGGACACGGTGAAACGAACCGGACGTGTGAGATCCGCGTGCATGGATGACGGATTGGGTCTATATCGTGTACTGATGACAACCGGGGGAGTGTGGATCAGTATGGATAGATACAAGAAATTCACAAAGCCAGCAACGATCGAATTGGTCCATACGGGGCTGGGCCACATGATATCGATTATCCCAGTACCGGAGGTGGTGGTGTGTATCTGTGAAAACACAAATTAACGAAAGGAGGAATAGAATGATTCATTTAAGGTGAAAATCCCTGATCCTGTGACAGTGTGATCGAAGCCAATGCATTGCTTTTGGCTCCGGAAACAGGTCTGAAAATTTAGTTCTTGCCAAAAATATTCCAATCCACAAACTTTGAAATAGAATGGAATAAAACAATTATAAATTCTTGATTTGCAATGTTGTCTCAAATGGTTTCACTACTATACGGATTATATATACTACTGTGAAAATGAAATAATCCCTGTCAATCTCTCGTGGGGAACGCAGTGCATCCAGACATGATTCAATCAGGGATTATTTTGACATAAAATCAATGCTTATTTCTGTAAGCTGGAAAGTACTGCCTTGCTCCTCATTTTACTTATCTTCGAGGGTGAGAGAGCGGGCCTAGGAAGAGGGGGTGGGGGGTGGGGAGGGCTGGTGGCTTACTGATTCGGGGTATCAAGGAATAAGGTTTTCTACTCAGATTTCCCACAGGGCTGATTGTTTCCCGTCATCTTAAAATGGTAAACACAAATATTCCTTGTCCATTGTGCTCCCGTGTGTGTGTGTGTGTTTGGAAGTGAGAAGTGGAGAAAAGGGGAACAAGAGTTTCACATAACCTCGGTTCCTTCAAAAAAATTCCATTTACATATATCAAATCATCCTAAGATATTCTCATATCATCGAGGAGTAGGAATTATGCAAGCGCAAAGAAGGTTACAATTGTGATTAGAAAACGGTATTCATTAAAACTTAGTAAAAACCTATATATATGATTATTTGAGTAATTCTTAAACGCAAATGTAAACCGAAAAATTCACTGGACCATGGATAATGATGAAATAGGTGAGAATTCGGCTGAAGTTCGAAAGCCAGTAGAGGCTAGTTAATCCTGAAAAGAAGAATGTAGAATTTTCTGGTTACTCAACCGAGTGCAATAATCGAAGTCTTTCGTTTGAATAGTTTTTTGGCAGATTGAGATCTTAAGGTTAAAATTATGAAATTGTGGGTTCGAATCCATCCGAGGCTACTGAACTTTTCACAATTCAGACATAAAGTTTTTTGTCTAGATCGGCCGTTCACGGAAAACAGTGGTCGAAAGGAGCGTGGCTGTAAAGCCAAACCTCAAGTAGTTTTGTCAAACTAACTTTATCGGTTTGCGAAAACCGGCTCTTTTTTCACCAGAACACATGCTAGAGAGGGTACCTTTAAAGTCACGATTCATTGTAATACGTATTATGTGACTGATTGGTCGAATGTTTCCTGGAGGCACACGACCGGCTTCGTGGCAATTGCCGCTTATGATGTATGCATATCCACCAATCTTTATATACGTATATATATATGGAAATTTTATCCAGTGATTCACATACTACTTTTTATCAAATATATATATATATATATATATAAGAAGAGAGGCCTCAGAATATGGGGAAAGTTGGGCGCATTTGGTGGGACTAGACCACACGTCCGGTGCTATAAGTCGGTAACCTTGACCGCTTGGCCATACCAGACTGGATGATAAGACAATCTTTGGGAGGCTGCACCAATATTCGATTCCCTCCGTAAAACTGTACCTCCATTATGGAGAACTAAGTAGGTTGGTATCATTGTTCTGGGCGAAAACAGTAGCTTATTCTCCTCGACGTAATTCTTGGACAGCCCTAGCAGTCCCATATGTACGTGCTCGGATCCACGAACGCATTGACCAAGTTCTCATTTCGCTCTGGAGTTTTGGCTACCTTTGTCTGGATTGTTTTCCATAGTCGTCGATCCATTTTAAAATACCATTTCTGGTCGAACAATAATATCCTATGGCTGCTGGGGCGTAACTTTAAGCCAATCAATCAATTGACTAGTATCAAGGCTGAATAATAAAATGAGGGCTAAAAACCCGTGATTAAAGGATTGAAAACCACGGAAAACCATGGGAAACGCTGTAGAAGCTGATAGACGGAAGCTGAGCATCTTTGCTACTTTTTTAACTCAACAAGATCTAACCCAAAAACTAACAATCAAAGTCTTCGAGGAACAAGGCCTTCTAGGAATCTAGGGCCAACGATTCTAGCAACCGGGCAAGACCAAAATGAAATTCCCATCCACATCATTTGTCTTGAACAAGAAGATTTACTCCGAAGGATAATTGATGAGTTTTTCAGGCCACGATTATACAGTCGCAGAGAGGTGCAGCAGGGTTCCGAAATAAAATTTACTCAGTGCTGCACTTGATCCTATTCTGGCGCACGATATGTGGCGTTTGTTTTGCTTGACCGGAGCGGTAAACAGGTCTCGAACAAATCCGGGTTCTTTAACTCCACTCACTGAGTTCAGCGTTCAACTCAAATCGAGTCAACTCAACAGTGCACTTTATCATCCAATGTGGACAGAATTTTCAGTGGAAAGAATGTTATCGCTTTTGCTTTGGCACGT